ACCTTGGCTAAGACCCGGGAACTCAGCTTCTGGGGATTCTGCAAGGGAAGCCAGCCACAAGAGGGGGAAGCCGCCCACAAGAGGCGCCGCACCTCTGAAGTTGGTGTAAGGCCACCGAAGGAGACGCTGGGTAGAGACGCCTGCAGGAAGCTTCTGTGTTCTGTTGGCCGCCGGCCTCTAGGCTACACACACGCTGCTGCAGGAGCCTGGCCTGCCGAAGCTGGCCCAGGGAAAGAGGGGTGAGAAGGAACACAAACGGGTGAACACAAAGGACACGCTTCCTCCTGCATGTCCCTCCGGCGCCCTCTACTGACAAAGCTCAATAACCCATCCGCTGCAAAGGAGCTGCTGCTGCTGCTGCGAAGTCGCTTCAGTCATGTCCGACTCTGTGCGACCCCATAGACGGCAGCCCACCAGGCTCCCCCGTCCCTGGGATTCTCCAGCAAGAATACTAGAGTGGGTTGCCGTTTCCTTCTCCAATGCATGCAAGTGAAAAGTGAAAGTGAAGTCGCTCAGTCGTGTCCGACTCTTAGCGACCCCATGGACTGCAGCCCACCAGGCTCCTCCGTCCATGGGATTTTCCAGGCAAGAGTTCAAAGGAGATATGCTTATGAAACCCAGCCCCAGAACAGTGGATTTAGAGCTGAGCAAGCAATATCTCAGCTTGGAGCCGACAGCAATATCCTGATACTTGTAACACTGTCAAAACCATTCTCTTTATGTGTTTGTATTTATATGTTCATCAGACAAAATGGATTTGTAAATCAACTTCCCAGGTATCTAAACCCTAAGGTTTCTTTAGACACCACCATCACCACCATGTTCAGCGAATTTCAAGGCAATGAAAAACATTTCCTGAGACTTGCTCTAGGACAGATGCTGGCACACATTATCTCCCTGATGCAGGACGACACAATCTGCATTGTTACACAAGCATTATGTAAGCACTTGCTTTGTTGTTAGTTGCTAAGTCGTGTCCAGTACTTTTGTGATCCCATGAACTGTAGCCCCCCCAGGCTCCTCTATCCATGGGATTTTCCTGGAAAGTATATTGGAATGGGTTGCCATTTCCTTCTCCAGGGGATCTTCCTGACCTAGGGATCAAACCAAATCTCCTGCATTGGCAGGTAGTTTCTTTACCATTGAACCATCAGGGAAGCCCTAACTATATGCTACTATTCTTTTTATTTTAACAAGCATATGATGAAGTTCCAGAACACAAAGCTATTAAGTGATGGATCTAAAAACCTGAACATAGGACCAACTAACTAGAAAATTGCTGCTCTTCACTAACTTAGCCTGACTTTATCGCCAAGAGACTAATTTTTGTGTAATGTGCTAAGAAATTCCATGTACCAGGCAAAAAATGTGGTGCCTCAACTATGATACTGCCTTTGTGAAATCCTGCTGGCAAGATTTTTTAGGATGACATCTTATCTGAGAAAGCATTTAAAAATGCAATAGAAGTTATGGTTTTCTTTAAGAAATTTGATAGCTTCATTCTGATTACATTAAAAGTGTAGTTGTACTCACATCTCTGCCTCCATGAGATTTTATCAGCTTAACATCTATGAAGCACTAAGTAAATCTTAGGCATTAACTAAGTTAGGCATTCTGCTAAATTCTGTGCATGCCTCTTCCTGTGTAATCTTTGCCACAGCCCAGTGTGTAGGGATCACCAGCCCCATTTTCAGATTAAAACTGAGACTGGATAAGCTGAGTAATTTGACCAAGTCATCATATAAGTGGTGGCACTGGAATTTGAATCCAAAATAGTTCTGCCTCCAGAGCTCAAGTTCGTAATCATGAGGCCAGGGTTCATCTAGTCAACCCTGTGTTGTACAATTTATTTCAAATCTTCTAGATTTTTAAGTTTGAAAAACATAAAATGGGCTTAGTATATCAATAAAAGAAATTGGGCCTTTGAGATTATTAGGCTTCTTTAAGAATGTTAAATGCTCATACAAGGGCAGCCCATCTAACCACGAGAGTAGCAGGAAAAGAGTTTCTCATGTAGCACCCCTACACATCTTCACTAATTTCAAGTGAGGGAGGACAGACCCATAGGTTTGGGCTTCCCTGGTGGCTCAGTGGTAAAGAATCCACCTCCCAATGCCGGAGACATGGGTTCGATCCCTGGGTCAGGAAGATCCCCTGGAGGTGCAAATGGCAGCCCACTCACTCCAGTTCTTTTGCCTGGGAAATCCCACGGACAGAGAAGCCTAGAGGGATTGATGCTGAAGCTGAAGCTCCAATACTTTGGCCACCTGATGTGAAGACCCAGCACACTGGAAAAAACCCTGATGCTGGGAAAGCCTGAGGGCAGGAGGAGAAGGGGCGACAAAGGATGAGATGGTTGGGTGGCATCACCGACTCAATGGACTTGAGTCTGAGCAAGCTCCAGAAGAATGAAGGACAGGGAAGCCTGGCGGGCTGCAGTCCATGGGATCGCAAAGAGTCGGACAGGACTGAGGGCCTGAACAACAGACAGCAACAAAGGGCCTTCTACAGACCTTTCAATCTGTGGCCGTGGGCCAATTATAATATCTTCCTGGGACTCTAGGCAGCTCCATGACTACGTCTGCATCTGCTAGGTCGCATCAATCGTTCCAACCCTTTGCAATCCCATGGACTATAGACCTCCAGGCTCCTCTGTCCAAGGGATTCTCCAAGCAAGAATACTGGAGTGGCTGCCATGCCCTTCCCCAGGTTGCTAGGTCTAAAAGTTGTAATTACTAAGAGTTGGTAATTACTGTTCTAATTAATGGAAATTTCACCTTGCATAATTTCCCCAATTCCCAGACTTCTCTGAATAAATTCCTCCTTTCTGTTCGAGTGTCATAACACACGGTGGCAGCCTTGTTTGTTTCCTCTTCTGTGTTTTCAAGGCTGAAATCCTCAGTATTACTGAGTGAGTAATGGGGTTGGGAAAAAAATCAACTGATTTAGGACCAAGTTTCTGAAGGAGACCAGTCGGGGGGAGTTGGGGGGAAAGTGTGGGCCTTTGTTGCCTTATTTATGAAACTGAATTAATCTCCAAAGTCTCTTCAAAGCTCTGATTTATGATTCCGAAGCTGACTTGACAATGAACTTGAATCCACCAGGACTGAGAGAGGAGGATGATGAGACAAAGCCTTCAGGAGCCAGCTGACAAGCACAGGCAAAGAGCAGGATGAGCAAGGGCATGAAGCGAGGTGCTCCCAGCATCTTCCAGATGGAACGTAAGAAGTTCAGCAAACCTCTTTGAATGTTTGAGGGTCTCCTGGGCAAAACAAATTAGGAAGACTGTGATGGAGGCTATGCATGAGCTGGAAAACACTGGTTGTGTTTAATTCCCAGACCCTAGAAAATGTACTTAAAACCAATCATTATATATAAAACTGCCACCTCAGAGGAAAACCAGAAAGAATTAATTCCCAATGAAAGTAACCCTAAAAGCTGCTCCTAGGACAAATAGAAAAACATTCCAATTCAATCATGGCATGGTTTCAGGGGGAAAACCAATACCTAATCAATAACATTGTAACTCTTCTGAAGAAAAAATAAGTTAGTAGAAAGATAGCAGTCTGCATGGTGTCTAAAATAGAGGAAACAGAGAAGTTATAATGTCTTCTGCAGCATTGTTTAGGGGAGAAGGTCTTGACCGCATCACATATACATTTGGATCCATTTGAGGTTAATGTCTTTTTTTCAGCTTTCTTGGGGTTTCTTCTGTCTTTCTTTTCTGACTTGATACTTCCCTAATGACTTTCCAGGCTTTCTTCCTTACAGCAAGTAAAAAGCTTGTTAATTGTGTTAGCTAAAATTTCTGTAGCTCTATGAATTTTCATTGCTTTATCTATCAATAATTTAGAGAGATTTATTAGCATATCAGCTCTGATATAAATTTGTCAATTTCTCATCATATATCTACTAAGTTTGTGCTTATCTTCCCAATATTAACATGGCTACTAGTTTTTTTGTTTTCCATTTATTTTTATTAGTTGGAGGCTAATTACTTTACATCATTGCAGTGGTTTGGCTACTAGTTTTTAATGGTTAATGTTTTTCTGGAAACATTTGCATTTTTTAGTTTGCATCCTTTCTGTTCTTTAACTATAAAAAATATTTTGGAAACAATATAATTTTTCTTTTTTTTTTCTGTTCTTTAACTATAAAAAATATTTTGGAAACAATATAATTTTTCTTTTTTTTAAAGTTTTTAATCCACCAGAACAGTCTCTTTTTTTTTAAACTGGTGAGCTTAATATATTTATACACAGAATATAGTTGAACTATTTTTAATCTATTACTATATTTTCTGATTTTTTGCATGTGAGGTTAAGCCATTTTCGTGTATTATGTTTACTGGAAATGTAGAATGTATTTCCACTCTTTATGTTCTGTTTTACTCTATGTTTTTTCTCTCTTGACTTTCTTTATATCCATTTAATTATTTATTTGTTTTGTTTAATTTTGGCCTTCTACTAGTTGGGAATTTATAGTCTATTTTCTACTGTTTATAATAGCAGTAGTCTTCTAGTAATCTTACTTAACAACTCAACAATACCTAATGTTACACATACCTTAACTCCTCTTTTAAACAATACAAGTCTAAGGATGCTCTTTTTGCATCAACCTCCACTGTGCTCCCCCAACTTATGAATGCATGCTAACTCGCTTCAGTCGTGTCTGACTCTTTGCAATCCTATGGATTGCAGCCCGCAAGAATACTGGAGTGGATTGTCATGCCCAACTGCAGGGGATATTCCCGGCCAGGGACTTAAACTTCGACTCCTGCAGCTCCTGTATTGCAGGTGGATTCTTCACCGATGAGTGACTCGGAAAGCCCCCAAAGTAACTGATGGCTAAATGGCATAAAATTTCTAGAGCAGCAATAAAGTACACAATTTTTCCACCACTAGAGGGCAGCATACATTTTCAAGATTATTTTATATATTTAAAAATAATATTATTTATCTAAGTTGTGAATTGAATTATTTATCAAATGACCTGAGCTGAGGTGGATGTCTGGCCAACCATCTGGGTTCCAAGGGGTAAGAATACAAATGGCAGGACTCAAGAAGAGGGCACTGCTGCAGGCTCCAAGTAAGTCTCTAGTTCTTGCTCCCAAGTAGAAATACTTTCCAGACTTCAACAAGGTCTTCTCAGGAGGACTTGTTCTCTGCCATGTAGTAACGATACAGAAAACCTAAGAGAATAGCACCCACGATAGGGAAGATCCAATACGACCAGTAGCTTTTGCATGTATTGCTTTTCGGAGGTTCCTTGCTCCCACCTCCAGGTTTAAGGTCATTCGGGTGAACATCACCAATGTAGTACTTCTTGAGCATTTCTCTGGCATCAGAGGAGTGGCCTACATCTTCAAAGCTTTCAGTGGCATCTCCTCCAGCTTGTTCCATCAGAACCTCTTCTCCACCAGGATGCTCGTTAAGAAAGCAGCTGACATCGTAGACTCGCCCGTGGATCACCAGCCATATGTCCTTCGGGGAGTTGCGCTTCGCCACCTCCTCCAGTCGGTAATAGGTGACGGAAGTCTCGACTCCTTGCTCTTTTCCATTGCTGCCGCTTGCTACCACAGTCGCCATTGGGCCTGAGATAACCTCTTTTCCACCGCTGTTCCCGTATTTCCACTCTTTATGTTCTGTTTTACTCTATGTTTTTTCTCTCTTGACTTTCTTTATATCCATTTAATTATTTATTTGTCTTGTTTAATTTTGGCCTTCTACTAGATGGGAATTTATAGTCTATTTTCTACTGTTTATAATAGCAGTAGTCTTCTAGTAATCTTACTTAACTCAACAATACCTAATGTTACACATACCTTAACTCCTCTTTTAAACAATACAAGTCTAAGGATGCTCTTTTTGCATCAACCTCCACTGTGCTCCCCCAACTTATGAATGCATGCTAACTCGCTTCAGTCGTGTCTGACTCTTTGCAATCCTATGGATTGTAGCCCGCAAGAATACTGGAGTGGATTGCCATGCCCAACTCCAGGGGATATTCCCGGCCAGGGACTTAAACTTCGACTCCTGCAGCTCCTGTATTGCAGGTGGATTCTTCACCGATGAGTGACTCGGGAAGCCCCCAAAGTAACTAATGGCTAAATGGCATAAAATTTCTAGAGCAGCAATAAAGTACACAATTTTTCCATCACTAGAGGGCAGCATACATTTTCAAGATTATTTTATATATTTAAAAATAATATTATTTATCTAAGTTGTGAATTGAATTATTTATCAAATGACCAGATAAAGTTTACTTCAAGGAGATGAGCGAAAGACATATTTACCTCCTTAGTCTTTCAAAATCCAATTAAATTAATAGGAAAAAAATAAAAATTAATTCAGAACACTGAAAAGAAGTCCATGATGCCAGAAGACTAGAGCGGTGGGAAATTTCTGAATCACACAAAGGAGATGTAAAACTACAGTGTTAAGTCTGAGTAGGAACAGGATGGCAGGAGGTGGCCGACTAAAGGAGACTTCACTTCATGTGGGTTGTCTGAATGTCTACTGAGAAGTGTATTCATGTATTACCTGGTAGAATGAAAGATTACATAGTCATTTTAAAACAAACTATATGGATAGAGAGTTAATGATAAAACCTAACAGAGCTGAGAATCCTTGAAACCCAGGCCAATACTTTGGTTTCAAAATTCTATATTCCAGAATTGTGAGAGAATAAGTTTCTGTTGTTTTAAGCCACCAAGTTTGTGGTACTTTGTTACGGCAGGCCTAGAAAATGAATGCAACCTTGACAGCTTCAATATAAAATAAAAGTGGGGAGGAGAGAAAGGAAAATGATTAGTAAATACAAACAACCACATGGATATAACAAGCTAATACATAACATATAAAGATACTGCAGTCCCTGTTTCTGTAATTGTTCAAGAGACCATAATTCATATCTATGGCTTTCATTCTCCTCTACCCATTCTGTATTTCCCCTGCCTTCAGTCAGAACCTCAACCGGTTGGGATTCTTTGCTTGGTGAAATGACCCAAATCTTCATTTTCAAAGATTCTGAGTCCTCAAGAAAATTACTTTTTATTTTTTGTTGATTTAATTTTTCATTAGTCTTAATATGAGACATGAAAGTACTAAGAGGTTACCCGGAAAATCTTCTGGGTTCCAGACTCTGCTCCTTGCCCACACAGTGTAGAACAAGCAAGCCAACTTCCCCGTGGTAAGCAGGACCAGTCACTCCAGCCTGCAGATTGACCGATTTTTGTTTTGGAGGTATAAGGAGCCCCAAATGGCCAATTGGTAGCCTCGTCATTCAGTGTAGTGGAACCATAGCATATGCTGAAGGCGCATTCTCCCCATGGGGACTAAGATCTCTATACCAGCAGCAGCAAAGTTTTTAGGTAAGGGAAGAAAAATCCTGAAAGCAGACTGTTAGGTGAAGTTGTGAAAAGAGACTCACTGCCACACCTTGATTCAAATGGATTCTGCCCATGAGAGGGAGAAAGCCATATAATGGTCTCTGATTCAAAACATAATCCAGTCAAACAAAATCCCATTTTTCCAGAGCACTGCTTCCCAACTGACCATAACAGTGTCATTGGTAAGCCATTTTACTGTTCAGTTAAGCCAGTTGTTTCCAAGTGATGGCATATGTGGTAAGGTCAGTTAATTCCATAGACATGGACCCGCGGCTACACTTCCTTTGCTCTGAACCAAGTACCCTGATTAGATGCAGTGTTGTCTGTAACGCACCAGAGGTAGATAAACCACTTTGTGACTTCACAGTGGTGTTGGCAGAAACATTAAGAATAGTCGAGGCCAAACCACTTCTAGAACATGTCATTATTCTAATGAGGACGAATCTTTGCTCTCTCAATGATGGAAGAGGTCCAATGTAATCAACCTGCCAGATGGCTGGTTCATCACCCTGGGGACCAGGGTCATATCAGAGACTCAATGTTGTTTTTCTGCTCTTGACAAATTAGGCATTTGGCAACAGTGTCAGCAAGATGAGCCTTACCATGGGAAAATCCAGGTTGCCGAGCACACGCACAGCCTGCATCCCTACCGCCAAGGCCACTCTTTCCACAAGCCCACAGAGCAAGCTCTGAGGTGGCTGGGCAAATCCAGAGTATGCCATTTTGTCCACCTGATTATTGACAGTCTCCTCTACAGCGGGTACCCTTAGTATACATTCAAATAAGACACAAATATCTTCACAGTCTGTGCCCGTTCAGAGAAATCCATCCATATTCAACACTTCTTTCCCATACTTCTTCTTCATCTCCAATCTTCCAGTCCCATTCCATCTAGAAAAACCATTAGTAACTTCCCATTCTGGTCATTTCTCACACCAGACATGGCAGATAAACAAACGTACTATTCAAATTATGCCCACTTAGAAGATTTTCCTTCACCCTTGACTGTCCTTCAGACCCCCGAGAGGAGCTGGGGAGGCCACTGTGCTGCCAGAGGTGGATTCTAGAAAAGTCTCCCATGCTTCAGGCGCCTGGCAGGGAAGCAAAATTTTTTCCTCCTTCAGTGTCACTTCAGCACTTTTTCTACTGACAAAGCTTAACACTGTGATAGTTAACAAAAGAAGAATATTTACTGTGTCAAGACCCACCTTCATAGAACAGGCACACAGGGTGAATTTGGAACTGAGTCGTAACGCAATCACAGTACAGTTATTATATAATCGTCCTACCTCAGCTCAGAAACCCACCACTCTGTCAACCACTGTGACTACTGTACCTTCCATTTGGACTTTTATTAGACTGGAGGTAGGTAAAGACTAGAAGTTGTTGCCCCAAATAGAAAGAAAGAGTATTCTTCCCACAAGAAAAGAGCAGTTCTGGGTTGACAGAACAATAAACGTTCTCTTCACATCACCCTTTGCTGCACAACACACACACACACACACACACACACACACACACACAGTTTTCTCCATATTTATAGTTTCTCCTGACATAAAGTGATAATCTCATAAGAAATTGAAAATGTACTCAATTCCTACCCCGTGGGAGAAGAAAACTCAAAGTCATATCCAGCACAAATTCAGAGTTTTTGGATGTAGTTAGTCTTAACAGGTCCAGATGTAGCTAACTGATGAATAGTAAATTTTCCCCAACACACAAGTACACAATAAAGGAGGTGGGTGTGGGATAAAAAAACTAATGAGAAAGGAAAAAAGGAGACACAGTGTGTCATGGTGGTGAGATCACATCACATCCTGTTGGACAAGAGTAACAAGCAGAGAACTGAGATCTTGGTGAGCCTATCAAAGTGCCCAGGTTTCTTCTATCTATTACCCTCAAAGACCCTGCCTTCAAGGAGTGGTAAGAAGGAATCTTCTGGGGCTGCCTCAGCAATTGAATTCATCTTCCTCTAGAGACGGAGAATGGGACATTGTCTTTGAGACAGTACACTGGTTGGTAGATGCCTTTTGCCAGGGTAAGGACTTTCTGGCAACACCTTCAAACTTACTTGGCTGCCAGTCAATGTCATTTGGGGGAAATCCATTAGTTTGTTATCAGAAATCTCATTGAGACATAAGCTTTGAATATGGACTCTGCCCTTCCTGTTTCTAGCTCTTGGAACCTGACCTGGCAACTCCATCAATCTCCCTAGATCTCCATTCACTGTCTTTGCCACAGACACTATCTGAGCACAGAGGGAGGGAACAGCTGGCATCATAAAATCAGGTTACAGTATCAGACTCTGTCCCTTACATTGCATACTACTTAACTGGCAAACTGGGAGGAATTACTCTTTCAACTGGGGTACAGAGTGTATAACAGGAGATATTCAAGAAGAATCCTGAGAAATGAGGATCCTTGACACCACTGCTCTGCTTGATCACTGTATTCATAGTTAGTGTGTTAACTTCACATGGGGCAGAAATTTTCATTGTTTCAATTGGCAGAGTAGATATCATCTGATCTCTACTAGTGTAGGATAACTAAACCTCTGGCAGAAAGGACTCCTCTTAACAATGCTGTTTAAGTACCATTCCACTACTGCTTGTCTCTTCAGAAAGGCTATGCTGAACAGTTTTTCTATATCAAAGCCCTAAAGGAGATAAGTCAACATATTACAATCGTCTGATTTTTTTTTAGCCAAGTTCATAAAACTGGAGCCTTAATGGGCATAACTATGGTAAATGATCAGATTTGTTACCAACCCAACAGGAATGTTTCTATAAACACAAAGTTGCATGTTTAGATGTAACAGTAATGTCAGATTACTGAAAGTTTCAAAATGTTCCTCTTGATTTCTATACCTATTTCATTGCTGATCAGTACATTTTACCAATGGGCTTTTGCCTTTATATCACATTTTAAGCAGCATTTATACAACTTATAAAGCTTACTGTTTTACCAACTTAAATGTCAATTTCCGTATTAATCAAGAGTCTTGGTTTGGCACAATGAGGTACCATCTTACACCGGTCAGAATGGCTGCTATCAAAAAGTCTACAAACAATAAATGCTGGAGAGGGTGTGGATAAAAAGGAACCCTCTTACACTGTTGGTGGGAATGCAAACTAGTACAGCCATTATGGAGAACAGTGTGGAGATTCTTTAAAAAACTGGAAATTAAAAAAAAAAAAAACTGGAAATAGAACTGCC